GATAGCACAGCAGGTAGGGCGTTTGCCTTACAAGCGGCCAACATGGCCGACCCTAGTTCGATTCCTCCGCCCCTCTCGGAGAGCCTGGCAAGCTACCGAGAGTATTCAATATGCCAGACACAGTAACAACAAAGTCTCCAATGGAGACGTTACTGGGCCCGCTCGAGCAAATCGACGATCAATGGGAGGGCCTTTACCTTTACCTTACCTTACTAGCTGAGGAAAAGAAGAAAGCACACACTCTGGATGGGATCCAGCCCTTGAGCGGATCTCCTAGTAATCTGGAGTAATCTCTTTAGATGAGATTTTTATCCTTGAGTTAATCCCCTGGAGGGGTGGTCTTACCTCTCTTTGTTGATTTGTTAATGTTCAACTCACCTTTGTATCACCACCCTATGTGATTGGTATATAAACTTAGACCATATGATCAGAGGGGAGAGTGAGAATCAGCAGTCAGAGTTGGAAACAGAAAAAGACAGTCAGGGAATCATCAGAGCAAGAAGCAGGCTTGGAGGCTCCAGAGAGAGAAGAAGAAGGGGAATCACAGGAGAATGGAGAGGAGATTGGAATAAACTGCAATTGATATTGAACAGCCTGGCCCTCATTCCTTACTTCACCTGCCTATTGCCAATAGCCATCCCGATCCAGTTCATACACAGTGGCTTGAGAGCACCAAATGTGGGCAGCAAAAGAACCGCCAGAGAGTGTTCAAACACACATCACCCTTTCGCGTGCATATATATTTTTTACAATATATGCCTTTTTAAAAATCTTATTCCTGATTCTGTTCAGTGATTTGTCCTGGTGGAACTCAGGCGACCATCTGCAATGCCAGAGTTTGAGCCTAGATGCACTGCATGTAAGGCAGGTGCCTTACCATCTATCTCATGGATCTAAATGTCCTATAATTTTTGCTATCCTCTTTTCTCCTATACTTTGTAATATCCTATATCCTACCATGCTGTATATGTTACATGTTATGGTACAGAACTGCCAAAGTCTTCATTTCCTAAACTCCCTTACAGCTACTCATTCTAGGTACATCACTGAAGTTTGGAATGTAGAAATGGACATTCAGAGGATGATGCCATTTTCCTATTCAGTTTTTTTTTGACAAGCATGATCTTGGGGTTTATTATTTTCTAAGACATCTATACTAGGCTTTCCAATGTCTGGGACTTCTAGTTTTAAAAGAAAGCTTTATTGTGTGTGTGTGTGTGTGTGTGTGTGTGTGTGTGTGTGTGTGTGTGTGTGTGTTGGGGTGGGTGGAGGTTATTCTTTTTACTGGAAGAAGTTGCGAAAGAGTTCACTTGTCATTGGAGTTTGAATCCTCCTGCTTCTCTCATCCTCAGCTCATGGCAGAGCCAGAGTCTTAAGAAGGGCAGTTCTAGAGTGTTTTCTGGAAGCCATTTCAGGGGAATCAGTTTAGGATATATGGATATATTTCTTCCAGTACTCTTTATTTATTTATTTATTTATTTATTTTCCTTTTTGGGTCTCACTCAGCGTTGCACAGGGGTTACTCCTGGCTTATGCACTCAAAAACTTCTCCTGGCAGTGCTTGAGGGTCCATATGGGATGCTGGGAATTGAACCCAAGTTGGCCACGTGCAAGGCAAATGCCCTACCCACTGTGCTATGACTCTATCCCCTCCAGTCCTCCTTGAACTCTGAAAGCATGAAAATATCCCTTCTTTTAACCTAACTAGAATGGTTTCAGTTATCTAGTTCTCATTCTTGGCCGATTCATCTTAAAATAAAAAACATATTTTTGAGAATTTCTTAAATATTACCAGATTTATAAATGTTTATTTGCATTATGTATATTAGACTGCTGCTGAGAATGCCAGCAACCTTCTGAGTTGTAAGATTATGTAGGAACATGACCTTCATTAAGTACTTCTGAATGCCTTGCGCCTAGAAAAGTGCTTTGCCCTTGGTGATGTACAATCAATATGTTAGGTTTCGTTGCATTGAATTAAATTGACTGAATAATTTGTGCTTTTAATAATTCCATATAATAAAGTTGGCAATCTCCTTAAGTTTGATAATTGTTTTATGTGATATATTGCCCATATTGTTAGCATCTAAAATGCTTTGATCTTCAATTTCTTAAGAAATCTCAAATGCATGCCATCTGGCTTCAGTGACTCAGGGAAATTTAATGTCTTGAGTTGTATGCACCACCTGTTGTTACTTTTCTTATATTTATGCTGTTGAATCACATTTGCTTTCAATGAAAAGTAATACATTGGTACAAATTCTACATTATTCAGTCAATAATGACCACTGATTGAGTGACCGAAGCAATTCAACATCTCCTGATTCTTCAATACTCCTGTTCTTTGCAGTGAGTATCATTACATTCTTAGTACTTCAATAACTACTGTACAGATATCACCTTTCTCTCTCAGGCTGTTCTTATACAGGAATGTTTTCACCTATAGATTTCACCTAAATACTGCTAAGTATTATCATTATCAATATTCAGTACTATCTTACCACTATTAGCATTTCTTCCATATGTTATACTTATTCTTATAGATTCTTATGAGTGTTGGTTTGTTTTGGGGGTGGCCACACTCAGTGAAACTCAAGGATTCTTCCCAACTTGGTGCTCTGGGGTTATTCCTGGCAGCAGTAGGGGAATTATGTGGTACCTAGGATCAAACCTGGGTTTCCTTTATACAAATCATATGCTCCAACTCTTAGAGAACCTCCCAGCCAATACATGTGACCTTAATACTTTCTTTTGTATGAGGCTTTCAAAAGATTCCTGCCAAACAAATAAGCTAGAAAATATGTGAGGATGGGGAGTAGGTACTGTTTCCTTTACTATCGGATCATGTTTTGTATCAAGCAATAGAAATTTAGACAGTATAAAAGATAGGTAAAGTACTTGAAAAACATGGAGATACAGAAGACTTCAGGCATAAATTAAACTATTGTTCCAGTCTTAGTGATTTTCTTAGTTCTGCCACATCTGTTGGCCTTTCTTTAGGTTACTTTTCCAGTGTTGCAGGACAACAGGAGAGAAATGGCAACAGACATAGGATATCCATGCTAGTATGTCACATCTACAAAACAAAATTCCTTAAGTGTGCTCTTATAGAACCACCCTCTAATAAGAGTTGCTCCCTGGAACAACTACATGAATATTATGCAATGTAGGAAATTTGAATAGATTTGAAAAGGAAACCATATCTCTTATTCCTATTATCCATTTTTGTGGTGTTCTGACCTACACTCCAGGGTGTTATTGGGTACAGTTATCACCATACAAGATCTAGGTATATAGAATCATATATTTATATATGCACAATCATATACAGTAAATTATTTTCACTGATGTTTGCACATATGTTTCTTATTTCCTCTGTCAACACTACAAAGCTCTAGAGAAGATTTTACTTCACAGTTTTATTATCATTGCTCATCAGCAAATACAGATATACCTCTTTTGTAGGAAGCCAATCAATATGCACTGTCTAGGGGCTAGAATGATAGTACTGTGGGTAGGGCGTGTTCCTTGAATGTACTGAGATTCCATCCCCAATACACAATATGGAATGATCCTTGAGTGCAGAGCCAGGGGTAAGCCCTGAACTTGTGAACCCTGAACCGATAAAATAAAATAAAAATATTAACAGTTCAATATGCCAAACACAGTAACAAGAAATTTCACGAAGGAGACAGTACTGGGCCCGCTCGAGCAAATAAATGAATAACGGGAGGACCGTGACTGTGAATGTGTCATTTAATGTAATGACATTAGAAGAATATACATTTTTTATGGATTTTATATTATTTTTGGCCTAGTTATATTGAGCCAGAATTAGAGAATCTCTCAGTCAGAAAACATACAGTAAGTCCTCTTGTATGCCCAGCATTTTGTAGGAGTGTGAATGGGGAAAATAACAAGGAACTTGCATTAAACTATTCCAAGATGAAGTTTAATGGGTGATGCCTGTCTCTTAGTTCTGCATCCAATCTTTATCACTTTTGGAATTTTTACTCCATTATGCTTCCAGATTCCCGCTGCAGTTGTGTATGTGTTGCCCGGAATCTTTAGCTCTCTTCGGCTGCATTCTCACCAGTTCTGGGAGGGCTCCTTCATTGCCTTGTTAAACTGTTATACAGCATCTATGTGAATTGCAGAATAACTGAAATGCATTAGTCACCTTTCTTTGGAACTTCACTTTCTTGCAAAAGACCTACAAGCAAATAGCAATATGATGTGTTCCAGGACACAAACAAGCATTGGCCTAAACAAGACAGTAAGAAATCAAAGAAGCTTTCTGTTCTTTTCCATTTCCTTTTGCTTTGAGGGTTCATATTTGCTAGTGCTCAAGGTTTATTCCTGCCTCTGGGCTCAGACATAACTCTTGGCGGGGATCAGGGAAACATATGTGGTACCAGGGAGAACTTAAGTCAGTTGTGTGCAAAGCAAGAGCCTGCTATACTACTGTGCTAGCCCTCAAATTTTCAGGAAGGAATACAGCCTGCCAATACCTTAAAATTAGCTCTAGAAAGTCATTGCTGGCTTCTTATCTCCATAAACAGTATATATAATATATATAATCACTGCCACTGTCCTCCCATTGTTCATCAATTTGCTCGAGCGGACCCAGTAACATTGTGAGACTTGTTACTGTGTTTGGCATATTGAATACGTCACGGGTAGCTTGCCAGGCTTTGCTGTGTGGGTGAGATACTCTCGGAAGCTTACCAGGCTCTGCGAGAGGGGCGGAGGAATCAAACTCAGGTTGGTCATGTTGGCGCTTGCAAGGCAAATAATATACATTCATAATTATTATCCATAATAATATATATAATATTACTGTTTATAAGTATTTATAAGTATTTTCTATTGGAGTAGGAAATATTTATATCATTAGTTGGAGTAGGAAAAACCAGTATGGAAGTAGGTTGGCATATCAGGACTGTGATTTTGTGGGCTAATGCTTAGGATATTGTTTCAGGATTAAATCTTTGTCACAGGCAGAAGTGGAATGCAAGTCATGGCTCAAAAAGAATCAGGAATGGAAGGTATATGCTGACCAAGTCTGCAGCATCCCACCAGCAAGGTGTCAAAGGAGGAGTGATGCCCAAACCCAAAATGAACCAGGTAAATGCAAAGATGGAGGAACAAGGAAGGAAAACTAAGCAAAGGTGGCACCATAGCACTGTAGCCCTGTCCTCCTGTTGTTCATCGATTTGCTCAAGCAGGTACCAGTAACGTCTCCATTGTGCGACTTGTTGTTACTGCATTTGGCATATCGAATACGCCATGGAGAGCTTTCCAGGCTTTGTCATGCGGGTGAGATGAGACTCTTGGTAGCTTGCCAGGCTCTTGGAGAGGGATAGAGGAATCGAACTCGGGTCAGCCACATGCAAGGCAAACAACCTACCCACTGTGCTATCACTCCAGCCCACTAAGCAAGGGTACGAATAATATTTCAGTGATTGCAAGACCCATGATATCCCCGCATCCTATAGCCTATGTAGCACAGTGACCTGGATTTGAAGACCTAATGATTCTCTCACTGAGCATATTTAAATAAATTCTTTAAATAAACATAACAGGGAAAGAACCAAGATGCCAATGCTTAAAGAAAAAGTTTATATTTTAGTATATAAATATATAATTTGTTCAAAATGTTGATGGATGTTCACATTATACCCCAAAATACCTGGTAAAAATAACCTAACTGACTTTATTTCACATCTGGAAGTAGCATGAACTCAATGTCTACAAAACTCAGCTAAAATGACTTGAACCATTCCCACAAACTCTGTACAGAATTTTCTTTAGCTTCAAAGTGTATTTTTATTTTTATAAATCATCAAAAGTATACCATTTTTGATATGTGTACATATCAAAATATATTATATATATACATTTAATTAGATGTGTGTGAAAAAACATTCAGCTACTCACCACCACCTTTAAAATGAGTGTACGGAAACATTCTCATCACCGTTTTGCAAGAAACTGAGACCCAAAAAGGTTAACTGACTTGCCTGAAGATATATAAACTTTTAGGAAGGATAAGCTTAAATTTTAACAGATGTTATTACCTCATTAAATCCTCACAGCATGAGTCGAAGCAAGTAAATGGCAGTTTTTTTTTCGTTTTCATATTTGGGAAATTAAAGTCAAATTGGTGAATCAACATCGTCAGCAAAATACAGCAACATGGAAACATCTATACTCATGAAAGCATCCATATTGCATTGCCATTTTTTCATTCCTAAGTATCTGAGATGTTAAAGTTTTTTTTTCCACTCAAGACACTGTACATAAGATGATTTAGTCCCTTCCCTTCTGAAACAAAATACAAAGTAAAAAGCTGGCAGTGTATCGAGAGGGAGACTTTGATGCTCTTTGCCCAGCTGTTAAGCTCACAAAACTGCTCTGGAAAAAGGTTCTGGGTCAATGCATGATGAACTTATCCTGATTAACTGGATTCACTGCCCTGTTCCTTCATCCAAAACTGACCAATAGCTTACAATGCTGGGAGCTCAATTTCTGAAGTTAATTAGAACACAGTCAGATGGGGTCTTTGGGAGAACAGTATTTTTGTTTTAAAAACTGGGAAGAAGATTCCTTTCTCTGATGTTAGGTCAGTCGTAGGGTTACCACAGTCCCCCCCAAAAAAAATATATATCAATTCAGGGAACCAGTTCTTCTTCAAATAGGTCTCTTCTGCTTCCCGGAGAGAAAGGTGATGGTCTCAATTTCCAAAGCGCATTTTTTGGAACTATGGCTCATTCACATCGTCTGCAAAAGGTGATCTTGTGATAAAATTAGCTCCAGGATAGGACCACCTTTACTTCACTTTGGAGCCTAAATTGTAGTACATGAACATGTTGATACTTTATTTTGCTTAACTTACTCAATTACAAACTGCCAACCTACCCCCAAATACAATCTATAAAAAATAATATGTGCTCATTTCCCTTAGTTCATACACAGATTTTTTAACTCTATTTTATTATTATTATTATTATTATCATTAATTTGTTTTTTGGGTCACACCTGGCGATGCACAGGGGTTACTCCTGGCTCATGCACTCAGGAATCACTCCTGGCAGTGCTAGGGAGACCATATGGGATGCTGGGAATCGAACCTGGGTCAGCTGCGTGCAAGACAAATCACCTACTGGTTGTGCTATTGCTCCAGTCCCATTTAACTCTAATTATTTTAAATAGGATTTCAGGTGAGAGAAGATGGAGCAAAAAGGAGAGTGAGATTCTGGCCATTCTGCTGCTGCCCAGAAGAGAAACATCATAAGACACCCTTGCATCTTGCATTGTAATCACTAGTATTTAATATTTCTCTCAACTCATAATTTTGGAATTTCTACAGTTACAATAAAATTTTACTGCAGTGAAATGAAATAAAACAAGAATAATAAAATGCCCAAAGCCAAGATTATTTTTCAGAAACCACTTTCCAAAGTGTGTTGAATATTTGGTACTTTAAAAAGACCACATCATAATATTATTTCATTTTTTTTGAATTTATAGGTGAAATTTAGAATTTTAATCTCATACATTGAGTTGTGTATAACATTTAGAGAGACAACTATCATTTTGCAATAGGACAAAAAAAAAGACTTCTGAAAGATGAATGATGGGAAAACCATGAGAATATAGACAATTTGCTTTCTCACATCCTAACTACATTGAGTTATTTTCCAAAGTCTTGTCTCATGAGAGAGGTAAAATGTATTTACTTAGCTGCTATATATAGGTAAACATGGAAAATATATGTCTTGGGATATTTTACTGCTTGCCAAAGACAATCTTCCTATGTCTACTGACTATTAATCAAGTCAACCTGCTTATAAAGAACAAATGCTTTAGAATAATTACTTATTTGGTAAACTAATTCTACCAGTTTTCATCTTTTGATATTTTCCTCCCATATCATTTGCTAGAGGTGAAGAGAAGTGTGGTATAAGAAGAAAATTTAGTATGATTTATTGTTTCTGAAAAAGTAACTACTTTGCTTACAAAGTATTTGAATGCCAGCACTGAATTATTCTCCATACTGTAATTAAAACTCCATAACAAAAACAAAAGAGCGTTAGTACTTACTTTATATTGTGTTGATATTTAAAACATAGAACCATATCATTTAAGATAAGTATGATTTTTTGACAAATAATAAGGAAATAATATAGAATATATTAAGTCAAGCTGTTTTTTCTATCAATCTCTAGTATTTGCTAGCCATTAAAATAAGGTTTTTAGATCCACCACTATCTACTTTCTCTCATATTTCAGGCTTAGTTCCCATGACTGCAATGAACCTTGTGTTATGCTAGCCAGTATCCCTCTGCCATGCAGACTTTCCCCCTGTCTCCATTTGACTCCATGACTCTACTCTACAAGATTACCTCTAACCATCTGAAACCTATTTCTATTATTAGATTTGAAGATATTTGCACCAGGTCACCAAGCAAGGAATGGATAAAGCTACAATTCAAAGCCAGGCACTGATTTGTTAGAGTCTCTGCTGAGTTTATAAAATGTAGTAAGAGTGGTATTGTCAAAGCTGAACTTGAGTCCCAGTGCTGCTATTTCCAGCTGTGTTTGTGGGCTGGAGAGTGCATCTCTCTAATAATCAGATTCCTCACCTGTAAAATGAGAAATAAGAATGTTCTTACCCTCACGGATTGCTAGAAAAGTTAAGGCAGATGACCCCTGCAAAACACTTGGCTCAGTGCCAAGTCTAGAATGCGACCCCCCCTCCACTATAAATGTCAACAGTTATTTCTCCATAGTTACACACTAATATTTATTTACATTTTTATTTTATGCTTCCACAACTGAATTTTATGAATTCTGAGAGGGAGAAAAAGTATATTTGTTTTATTCAATCTGTTTAGAACATCAAGGACAGTTCTTGAGCATTCTAGGTATTAAACATACAACACACACACGCATGCATGCACACACACTATTAATTGATTAATATCTAAGCCTCTTTTTATTCTTTTTACATGGAGGCTACCCCAGGAATTCTGGGGAACAAAGCCATTGAGGCAGTGTGGATATGGCAGTTTGATGGCTAGGTCAGCAGTACTGGGTGCCATGAGGACCACACCTGAAAGTGCTAGAGAGGCTTTCAGTGCCCAGGTCAATTTCAGGGTCTCCTACGTGCTTGGCATGCGCTCCATCACTTAAGTTACCTCTGCCGTCCTATTCTTATTTTTTTTTATGTCAGACATTCTTGGTTGCTTATTAAAAATGCTACCATTGAAAAATGTTTCAAAATACAATCATTAAAAATGTATGTAATTGAGACAAGGGAGTTAGTAAAGTGATACGATTTTTGCCTTGCATGCATTCGACCTGAGGTTTGATCCCTGATATCCTTTATGGTCCCGAGTCTTACCAGGAGTGATTCCTGAGTGCTGAGCAAAAAGTATCCCTACGCATCACCAGCTGTAACCACAAATCCCCCCAAATATATACAGATATAGCAATGACCCACCCAAGTTACAGAATAGACACCTCTCAATAATGTAAATATTTTAAGTAATCCTTGCTTCTGAGCTAACACTCAGTAAACATAGTGAAATATATCTTTATTTGACAAATATCATAGCATAAGGACTGTTATTTTTCAGTATACTTTTTTCATGCCATGGAGAATATTTTGTTAATATTTTATCTTAGCAGAGTTAGTGTGGTGAATTAATTTATGCTCATATGGGTACATACTATGTGCACTTTTCTAGGTGTTTCGCTACCATTTAGCTTTAGCTAATGGGCACTTAAAGTCTTGCTGATTTTCCCCCAAAGACCCATAGTCATCTATAACATTCTTGAATAATTGAGCTTTAAGTGGAAGATAACAGGGTTGACTACTTCCAGAAATATGTAGATATATTCTTATTAGTTTAACATTGAAAGTTGTTATGTTTTAAATTCCCCTATCAAAAAAATGGAAAGCTAATTAATACATAGAGGAAATGAAATGACTTGGGTTTTGTTATTAAAGTTATTTATAGAAGCTCTACTTTTGAAATGTGTTATCCTGGTATATCTTAAATTAAGACAACAACAAAACACCTGGAACCTAAAAACTGCTGTCAGAATAAAGGAAATATATCACTAAGACTTTTAAAGAAACCTTATTTTTAGGATATTCTCATTTCAAAATTCCTTAAAGCTGTTTCCCTTTCTTAAATCAAAGTAAACATACTCCCCTCCCTCCCTCCCTCCCTCCCTCCCTCCCTCCCTCCCTCCTTCCTTCCTTCCTTCCTTCCTTCCTTCCTTCCTTCCTTCCTTCCTTCCTTCCTTCCTTCCTTCCTTCCTTCTCTACATCAGATGTGCTTGGGGCTTATTCCCAGCTCTGGACTCTGATGCATAGGGCCACTCTGCACTCTGTTCACTCCTGGTTAGATGAACCACATGGGGTGTCAGGGATATCACCCAGGTTACCTGTGTGCAAGGCAAGCACCTATTCATTGAACCATTCCTCTGGATCCAAATACGTAGTTTTTCACATGTTCAATTGGTTTTATATTTAAATCAGGACTTTCTGCAATTGTGGTTGGTTTTGTGAAGAAAGGTCCTGAAATATTTTTCTACCAGCTAACTTTCTCGCATTTGGGGAGTGATTTGTCGAGGAGAGTAAGTGAAGGTAGATAGGTAGGAAGAAGAAAAATGGGGGAGAACGCTCCCAAATTGCTATCTAGGAACTCAAAAGAAGTATTTTTTGCTTTCTTTGTTTTAGGAGCAGTCCATCAAACACCAAGAGTGGTTTTATTAGTATTTGCTTGGATTTTTTGTTTTAATTTTTATTTTGTTTTGGGGTCCCAACTGACAGTGTACAGGACTTACTCTTGGTTCTGTGCTCAGGGATCCCTTCTGGTGGGGCTCGGAAACCATAGCCAGTGTGGGAATGGAACCAGGTCAGCCAAGGCAAGAGTCCTCTTTACTGTAATATCTTTCCGGCCACAACATTGTGTTTCTCATCTCATATTCACTTTCTAATATCCACAGCGATGTTATGAATTGTGTAAGTTATTGTTAGTCTCATTTTACAGATGAGGAAACAAAAACTAGAAGTAGTCAATTTATGAAAATTCCGCACAGTTAGTACAAGGATCCGGAACTTGAGCTAGGAGATAGCTCAAAGGCTGGAGCACATCCTTTATATGAGGGAACCCCAAGCTAGACACCTGTCACCAGATGGTACCCCGACTAGCTCTAGGAGAAACCTCTGAATACCAAGCTGGGAATAGTCTCTGAGCACCACTGGATATGCCCCAGAAGCCAAAAAATAAGAAAAAAAATCTGGAACTTTATTATTGTTGTTATTGTTGTTGTGTTTGGACCACACCTGGCAGTATACAGGCGTTATTCTTGGTTCTATACTCAGGAATCACTTTTGTCTGGGCTCAGGAGATCATATGGGGTGCCTGAAATTGAACCCAGGTTGACCACATGCAAGAAAAGTGTCTTAACCTCAATACTATCTCTCAGACCAAGAAATGTGGATTTTAACAGAGGTCATTGCTGTTAAGAATTATATACTTACTATTCTGCATATTGCCTTGAACTTTTCCACAGGGGTGGAAAATAAAATAACTGGCAAGTTAATGGGTACCTCTTTAATGGTATTAATAATTGTAATTGTTACACAATGAAAACAACAAAACATACAAGCAGTGCACATGAGTAGCTCAAATTAGTAGAACTTTTAAAGACATCTTTGTCAGTGTATTTGGCATCTTCAAGGAAGAGGAAAAAGAGCAGAGTAGAATAAGATGCTGCATAAAGGTTTTTCTGGTTCTATCACTCACTACTTAGATTTGGGTTAAGAGAAGACTAAAAAATTTCATTTTTCCACTCTCCTATCAGAGACTATTGATAATAAAGTCAATGCACTGCAATATAAGATGGAGCGTGTGCTCAAATCAAATCCGTTTTTCTTTCAGGGCAAGCTAATTTCATCAATGTTGCCTGCACCCATCACTCAGGCGTCAGTTAGGGATTTTTCTTTTTTAGTATTTCAGTGGTGCTTTCCAATTAATTAGTTCTTAAATAGAGAAGTGATGCCCAGAGTCTGAAGAGTGGGTCAGCCAAAAATGTTACCAAGTAAATTACGAAGAGGCTTTCTTCTTTCTTTCTTTCTTTCTTTCTTTCTTTCTTTCTTTCTTTCTTTCTTTCTTTCTTTCCTTCCTTCCTTCCTTCCTTCCTTCCTTCCTTTCTTTCTTTCTTTCTTTCTTTCTTTCTCTCTCTTTATTTCTTTCTTTCCTTTCTTTCCTCTTTTTCTTTTCTGTTTCTTTTGAGCCACACCCAATAGTACTCAGGGCTCACTCCTGTTCTGTGCTCAGGGGTAACTACTAGAGATGTTTAGGAGATCAAACAAAGATTGGTCACATGAGCACTTTACCTTTTCTATTAGCTCTCCAATCTCACAAAAATTTTTCTTTTGACATTTTATCTCCATTTATGTACTTCTGCCTCTAGACCTT